ATGTGGGTACTTAAATGAAAGGTCTCGATGAGTGTAACATCGGGGTGAGCTTATATCTTTAAAAATGTCAATATTTCACAAGATATTTGTTAAATTGCACTGTACTTTTTTAACTATTGACATTTTTAAAGATATAAGCTCATCCCGACGTGACACTCATCAAGAGCTTTCATTTGAGTACACACATGCATTTTTGATATATTTTTCATATATTCATATATATAAATATATAAAATATATGAAAAATTGATGTGGGTACTCAAATGAAAGATCTCGATGAGTGTAACATTGGAATGAGCTTATATCTTCAAAGATGTCAACATTCCACAAGATACAAGGACATTTCTTAATTATATATCATAATAAATTGACGGGGAAAATAATATGAAACCTTGAAAAGGCACAAATTCAAGTTAAGACTTTTGCACTGACACTAAATTTCACTAAAAAAACCGATTTTATCAAATGATTATCCTGGAAACAAAATCTTTCTATTCTCTTTAATATCGATTATTTTCCATAAAATGAAATGACTATAAATAAAATCATAACTAAAATCTATTACTATTAAAATTATTATTATTATTCTGTTTATTTTGGCCACTTACACAGTTTAAATGTTTCAATATTATTTATATAAGAAAATAAATTACAAAAAATTACTAAATTTATTAAAAAGGGAGTACTTATTCTATTTCAATGTTGGACATGTTGACAATAAAAATTAAATGATAAAGGTAGTGTTGAGTCATTTAAAAGTATCAATTTTTTTATCAATTATTTTTAATTACAAAAAAGATTAAAAGTTACGGGTGATATAATCGGAGGGCTTCAGTAAATTATCCATGGGATAATTAATTTCATTGTTTTTGTTTTTTCAAATTAAAAATTATTATAAATTACATATTGATTATTTGATGACGTATTTTATTTTTATTGTTGGTAATATTATCATCATTTTTATTAATATTATTTTTTTTATCAATTTAAAAATGTATTCCAATAAGTATAGAAAAAAATTAATTAATTATAATTGTAGCTAAATTTTCTGTTGACAGATCGACCAATTCACAAGAAGTTGACAAAAAAAATTTTTCTTTTTCTTGTATGATGTATTCTTCTCACTAGTAAGATGTAATTTTTCTAATTGATTTATTTTTTTGTTATAATTATTTAGAAAATTTTTTTGTCTTAAGTTGGATAGAAATTTTGTTATCCTTGAATAGTGGGAAGATGTTTTCTCCAAGGATTTTTTAAAACTATTGATTTTATGTTTTTTTTTTTTTTATTAGTTATTCGGATAAAGTTATGAATATTGCATCGGCACTGTTTTTTTTTGTTTTTTTTTGTTTTTTTTTGTTTTTTTTTTTTTTATCTGAACCTATTCATCAATCGAATTATTTTGTATTTTTTAATATTGTAATTTTTTTTGTATCCAAATTTTTAAACGTATTATTGTAAAGATGGTATTAAGTAAGCCGTGCATGCAATGTCCCTGTAAGAAATAAAAATAGTTATTATTTAAGTGTTTTATTTTTAAGAACATGTAGAACAGGTTTTTTTAATTTTGAACAAAATACTGGGAGGTATTTTTGATCAAGTAATTATTTAATAAAAAATCATTAAACTTGGCGTAAGTACATAATAGTCCTTCGTAAATTGATTTTTGTATTTTTAAATTTAATCATTGAAAAAAAATAAATAGGTACACAGAAAAAAAGGCGTACTTGAACCAAGAAAATATTTTTCTTACTAATTATTTTCTTGAGCGAAAAAAATTTTTTTTTGACAAAAAATTTGACGTATTCCAACAAAATTAATTCTCTTGCTTTAAGAAATACGTATTTTGATCAAAGAAAATTTATTTAAGTCAAGAAAATGTTGTTTTGAGAAAATTCAGTCTCTTGTTCCAAAAAATTTAGTTCTTGATATAAGTAAATTTTCTTGTCTTGAGAAAATTTCTTTCTTGCCCAAAAAAATTAAATATAAAGATAATAGTAAATTTTCATTAATATTTTTAATGATTAACATGTCAAATGGAAGATCAAATAATATTGAATCAATTTTTTTCATTCAATATGTATAATTGCACGCTAAAATAATATAAAATGGGTATCAAATATTCAAGAGAAAAATTTTCTCAAGGTGAGAAAATTTTTTTCTCAGCTGAAGTAAGTGTCGCTACTTCTCTAAAGTATCTAAAAATCTTGATCAAATATAAAAATTTACTGTATCAAGTATTTATGATAATTTGAATTAAGAAAAAATGACTTCCACCAAGAATAGAATTTCAAGGAAAATTTTTACTTCGGCCAACACAACTTCGGTCTTCCTTAAGGCGACCGAAATTTTTCTTGAGCCAGGAATTTTGTTCTCCAGTCAAAAAAATTTTTTTTCTGTGTAGTGTTAACTAAATCAATAAAAAGTAAACTAAATAAACTTTATTATAAAGAAATTACTAAAAAACGTAAGGTAAAAGCCCCCACTATTGACACCCTATTTAATTTTATTATTTCATTATTAAAATCTGTTAATAATCACAATTGTTGACATTTCATGAAAATTTTACATATTTTAAAAATTAAAAAATAGTAAAATTCAATTCCAAGGTACAAACTATTTATCGCAAAAAAATTTCATTTTTTCAAATTGGCCAAAACTGCTTATACGCTTGTAATTTCTAAACAATATTGTAAAGAAAGACCTTATTTTCAAATCCAGATTTCTCAATGTTTTTTTTTTTATGTAATTGCATTGTTTAAAATTATTTTAGATTATTTATAGTCTAAATAACCATGTAATCATTTATTTATACTTTATCGAGTTAAAATTAATTTTAAAATAGCGGATGTCAATGATGGGGACACAAAAATTAACTTGCGTCAACTAACGACATAGGCCATAATTTAAGGTAACCCAACCCCCTCAACATACATATCAACGTATTAATGTTTACATACTGTCATGTGATTTTATAAGAATCAAAGTATTTGAGACTAGAAAAAATTGCTAAAAAAAAACCTGGTTAAAAATATAGAAAAGCTAGGTCTTAAACGAGTTTTAAAATAATAAAAATTATTGATAGTTTTGCATTAGTTCGTAATAATGATTATTGTTAATATAAATTTAACTGTGATAAAAGACCTGTCAATAATAGGGTCAATGGTATGTCAATAATCGGCTCTTTGAATTTTTTGCGCTGTCAATAATACATACATTCAACTTGCTGGTTTTAAGTTGATATAATAATTATTAAATGTATTGCTATTGAAGTTGATTAAATAAATTATATAAGTATAAACAATGATTAAGGTGTCCTATGAAAAAAAAAGTTGACAATATTGATTTGAAACACGATAAAAAAAATTCAAATATTCATGATCACTCTTATAGTGTCAATAATGGGGGTTTTTACCTTACGACCAATACAATCTTTGAGATTGATTTAATTTTTTGGTTTTTCGTTACTTTATTTCAGATTAATATAAGCCGAATTTATTAAAATGCAGCTAGGTTAGGGTAAAAAACTAATTACCAACAAAAAATTTCATTTACTATACTATGATGGAGGCCGCAAGAGAGTATCAAAAATAAATTATCTAGTTTAATTTTTTTAATCAGTGTTTAGAGTATTTACAGTCAGTCTGATAACCTTCTTGAGTGGATTTTACATGTGTTTCAAATAAACAAACCGATATATTAAATTGGTATTTGTTGTCTCTGGTCTAGACTGAATAACCGACATCAGACTGTACTACATGTTCTTAATTTACAAAATTCAATCATTTAGCTAGAGATAATTACTTACCAAAATTAATTAAGTCTTTTAGTTATCATTTTTTTATAGTTTTTTTACCCCTACAAACACTCTTCTTGGCTTTTTCGTACACACCTAGCAACTTTTCGTTTGAAATCCGAATAACTTTCTCTCCACTCTTTCTGCAATCATAAAACATAAAAATTATCAATTTGGTTATCATAACGTATTTTAATTGATGAAATGTAAAAAAAATTCTTTAAACGACACAATATTTTACGTAAAAATTATTTCAATGATTGCAAATTAAATTTGATCTTAATTAAAATATTAGACCATTATAAAGATTTGTTCACACTAATTCAAATCATATTAAATTAAATAAAGTTTGGGGATCCAAAAGTACACACCTAATAAAACTCATATATTTTTTAAGAAAAATATAAATTGCATAATCAATTTTTAAAAGAAATAGAAAATAATCAAGTAATTCTTTAGAGTATTTTGTAATTTTTTTTTTATTATGTAATTTTTCAATTCGTGACATTTTTAAAGGTATAAACTCATCCTGATGTTACGCTCATAGAGACCTTTCATTTGAGTACACACATGAATTTTTTGTAAATTTTATATATATATGATATATCTCATATTTGTGATGAAATATTTAAAAAGTTCATGTGGGTATTCAAATGAAAGGGTTCAATGAGTGTAACACCAGAATGAGCTTATATCTTTGAAAATTAAATCAGTTGACAAAACACTATCTTATTTCTCAATAATTGAGATATTTGAAGATATAAGCTCATCCTGATGTTCAGCATATAGAGACCTTTTATTTGAGTACACACATGAATTTTTCGTATATTTTATATATATGATATTTCTGATATTTGTGAAATATATAAAATATATGAAAAATTCATGTGGGTATTCAAATGAAAGATCTCCATGAGTATAACATCAGAATGAGCTTATATCTTTAAAAATATCAACAGTGAACAAAATTCAATGTCATTTCTTAATTATTGAGATTTTTGAAGATATAAGCTCATCCTGATGTTCTGCTCATCGAGACCTCTCATTTGAGTACGCACATGATTTTTTCATATATTTTATATATATATATATATATATATATATATATATATATACATGATATTTCTCATATTTGTGAAATATAATAAAAAATCCATGTGGGTATTCAAATGAAAGGGCTCGATGAGTGTAACACCAGAATGAGCTTATATCTTTAAAAATATCATCAGTTGACAAAATACAATCTCATTTTTTAATTATTGACATATTTGAAGATATAAGCTCATCCTGATGTTCTGATCATCGAGACCTTTCATTTGAATGCCCACATGATTTTTTCATATATTTTATATATATTATATTTCTGATATATGTTAAATATGTAAAATATATAAAAAAATCCATGTGGGTATTCAAACGAAAGGGCTCGATGAGTGTAACATCAGAATGAGCTTATATCTTTAAAAATATCAATATAAAAGCCAATATCAAGCATTTTCCTTTGAAGTTGTATTAATAGATAGTTATAATAATTACAAAATATCAAACTGATTAAATTATTGATCACAAACCGAGTGTCCATTTTTTTCTATATGCTAAAAATAATTAAAGTCTAACATTGTTTAATTAAAAAAAAAAAAAATTAAATGACTTACGGCGGCATCAACGTTAGCGGGGCTTTCATCATTAGGATCAGCAAGCATACTAATAACGCTAATGAGGATCGTTTCGACAGTGTGGACTGGTAGCCATCGTTCTGATGCTTTTTCATAGCCCCATTTATCATCACCCGGTTCATGTAAGATTGATATACAAACATCACCATTTTTTTCGACTAAACAGAAAAAATTTATTAATTGTAGTTTTTTTCCTGATAAGAGCAAGGATGTAATTTTTGAGGATCTTTGTAAGTATCTTAAATATTTTAATTGTTTTTTCTCTTCCTTTCTTTCTTTGCTTTACATATTATTTTAAATGCAGGTTATACTCACTGTTAGGATGCCATATTTCTGTGATGAATTTCATTCTTGGTGGCCTGAGTGGATATTCTTTGGGAAATTGTAAGTGAGCTTTAAAAAATCCTCCTTCACTGTTTAACATAAATTAAATAAAATTAGATACGTAAAAAAAAAAAATATATATAAAAATAATTTTAGAAAAATAATTACTATAATGTATCCGGAGGTCCAATAATGAGCACTTCCCATCTGTAAATATCATTGTCGTCTATGAGGCCAGCTGAAAACCCTTCTACTGGGTTTTTATTTAATTCTGTAAATAATTATAAAATTATATAATTTGTTTTTTTTTTTTTTTTTTTTTTTTTTTTTTT